GCATCGTCATCAGCATCATCTCCATCATCATGATCATCATGATCATCATTGTCATAGACATCATCAGCCGCATCACCAACATCATCGCCATCATCAGCATTAGCATAAGCAGCACCAGCATCGTCATCATCAGCATCATCAGCAGCATCAGCATCACCGTCGCCATCATGAGCACCATCATCTTTATCATCAACATCACCATGGTCATCCGCATCATCATCAGCATCATCATCATCATCAGCATCATCATCATCATCGTCAACATTATCACCACGATTATCATCAGCATCATCATGTGCATAATCATATGCATCATCAGCATCATCCGCAGCACCAGCAACACCAGCAACACCAGCATCATCGTTATCAGCATCAGCATAATCATCGTCAACATCATGATCGTCACCGTCAACATCTCATCGGCATCATCAGCATCATCATCAGCATCATCAGCATCATCATCATCACCATCATCATCATCATGATCAGCATCAGCATCAGCATCACCATGATCATCGTCGTCATCATCATCACCTAGTGGTGTGGCGGCGGCGGCATAGGCGGCAGGAGCGCCCTCGCTGCATCCGCCAAATCCTGTCCTCTCCCCCTCCTCGTCCATCCTCTCCCCTCCTCTCCGCAGACGACCTTGCTGGTCTGTCGCTATGCGGCCTGGATTGGGCAGCAGCGTGTCAGCCCCAGTAAGCTTCGGCGAGCCTGGGAATGCATCAAGCAGCGATTTGAAGTCAGGGTCTCTTGGGCTGGCGCTCGTGGCACTATCTCCGGATGAGTTGGATTATGCTTCGGATGAGTTGGATTATGCTTTCCCCAGGCTGCTGTCTGATGAGACTAGCCGCCAGATTGATCTGCTGCACGTCTGCCCTGCCGACGTCAAGCGTCATCTTGAGGACTTGCTGCAACGCTCGCAGACGCAACGCACCCTTGCATATTTCGCCGACAGTGCTGGCGAATCGTTTTTTGCTTCGGGCGGTGCGTGCGGCTGTATCGAGCATTGCGAATCCTGCGAGGCGCGGTGCTCTGGGATTCTTGTGGGCCGCTGTTTGTCGGCCGCCTTTGCTCCTTCGTGTCATCAAGATGTGTGGCGATGACAAATGCTTCGTGTGCACGAGCGCTGTCGGCACGTATGCTCATCAGTGGCTTGATTGCCCGGGCGTGCTGAAGGAGGAGTGTCAGGAACAGGGCAACAGGCTCGCTCCTCAGGAGATCCTCGAGCGTAAAGCCGAGATCACTGATCAACACGCTTATGTCACCAGTGCTGCCGAGGTCGATAAGTTTCACCCTCTCTATAGGCGTCCACCCCTGCCGCCTCTCCTGGCCGACGTCGAGCCGTCCCTCGAAGTCTATGGTCTGGGGCGGGGTTCTGGTACTTCGGGGCAGCGTTTCTTCACGGACGGGTCTGGCCTGGCGTCAAGGTGGCTGGTCTCACTCGCTGCCGTGGAGATTTCGGACAGCGGTCTCCCCCTCCGAGCCCTGTGCGGGCCACTTCCAGGCAGGGTGCTAAGAGAACCTCGGGCCGAATTTTATGCTGTGGCTAAGGGACTGGGGGTCGCCGCGAAGCCCGCCCGTGTCAGCAGTGATCACGCTTCGCCTCTGCGCGATGGTCAAACATGGGAGCCTCACAAAATGACCGGGCTTCCTCGACGCGTGCGAATGTCTGGCGCAGAGACCATGTCATGCACCCCACTGGTCCTCCCACGTTTGAGTGGACCCCGGCCCATAAGAAGCTGGCGGATGCTGTTGCTGCTGGCCCCGAGGCGTTGGCACCAGCCCAGCTGGGCAGAGGTGCTCGCCAAGCGGGGGGCGGCCAGGCACGCAGCGGGGGAAGCTCCAGCCGACGGCCACGAGCGTGTGTGCTGAAGGAGGCGAAGCCCAACGCGGAGGTGATCGCCTGGGATGGTCCAGGTGGGACGACCAGGTGCGACGACGACGCCGACGACTCAACTCAACTCAACCACTCTGGGAGCAATGTCAGTTACCACTTCGCAACCGTGCAATCAAGGCTCTCGGCCTTCGCCGAGGGTTGCACTGCAATGCAGAGCACGACGAGTTCTGAGTACCTGCAGCAGGGTGTACTGACTGCCACGGCGCGGGGATGGGGTTCATCCTCTGGCCGTCTGCAGCGCCCAGGTTAGCGGGATAGCTCGGAGTCGGGCGAAGGGGGGGGATAGCAAAGAGGGTGTTTGAGAATCAGCTCACGCCGCTGATTTTCCCGACGCCTCCCGGCGCCGGGAGGCGGCCATGTATCGAGGAATGGGCCCCTCGGTGAGGCCGAAACCAGCTGCATGCCGCAAATTTCGTAACCCCCCCTTCCCCAATCCCCCCCTTTCGTCCGGCCCGAATAGCCTCTGGTTGAGGGATGACAGAACGACCCTACCCTGGGTTACAAGTGCGTGGTCTGTAAACCTCCTGGGAACCCCCAAAGCCTAGAGCCGCCAGGACGCGGCACATCACGCAGGGTTTACCATGTCAGCCCACAGGAGTTTCAGCGCACAGCGCTTCGTAAACCAGGGTAGGGGCGTTTTTTCTGCCCTTGATCTGGGGCTGCCCGACACCCCGACGACGACGACGAGGCTGCCCGGTGCCCTCGGCCCCTCGCGCCGGCCTCGGGGGCCGCTCCTCGTGCCCCCTCGAGGCTCGGGCGCGTGTGCGCGTGTGCGGCTGGTGCGGCTGGACAGGCGCGCTCCGCTGCTCGCAGAAGAAAAAAAAACAAAAAACAAAAAAAAAAAAAAACGCCTCGCAGGTCGCCCGGCTGCGCCGCGGGGGATCTGCGCTCCGCTGCATATACAGGGCAGGTTTTAATACATAGGATTTGTAATACATTGGATGTTGAACACATGATTAATTTACTAATAAATCATTGCATACATCCATCCTTGCTTTTAATACGAAATCCCTTATTCTCAATACATGCTCCGCACGCGGAGCATGTATTTAAGAACGGCACTGTAGGAAGGCACGTGCTCGTGCTCTGACGGTTGTGAGCAGGCAGGCTGCGGGCAGCGAAGCGCGCCCGGCGAAAGCAGCACGAGGCCCACGCGAGCGCCAGGACACGAGAGCACCGCTGCGTGCGCTGCAGCACATCTGCCCGGACTCAAATGCATATCAGGTCTGCTAGGCTGCAGGAGTGCCAAAGGGGCGGCGGAACAATGTTCCTCCCTCACTCCTGATGAGTGCCGCCCATAAAACGTCGACCGTCGCCGCGCTCGCGATGCAAACGGCCGACGAGATTGGCATCGACCCTGAACTTCTTTCTCCCTCCCTTGATGGATCGGCGGTGGAGGAGGTCGCCTTTTACAGGGCCCGTTGCCATCAGGCCGAAAGTCACGTCCGAGCATTATTTGCCTCGAGTGCGGAGCCTGTATAGTGGGTCAGGACAGGAATCCTGCAAAGGGCCGCTCCAGAGTCGCCTCGACGAGGGCGAATCAGCGGTGCCAAGTCTCCCGCGTCCTCCGTGGGCTGCACCCGCGAACTCGGGCTCCTTGGGGCCCAGATGGCCGTGCCTCGCTGAGGCCTCCGCCGTCGCCGTCGGGTCGCGGGGACGAGGGTGCGAACGATGACACGTCCTCGTCGCATGGTGCCCCTGCTCCCCCAGGGAGCCGGCGGGATCGTTCCCCTCCCCCCCCTCTCGCTGGGAGGTGGTGGCGGGTGAGGCGGCTGGGCCTTCGGCGTCGTCGTCGTCAAGCGCTGTCGCTGTGCCGCCGCCGCCGCCATCGCGGGCTGCCGCTGCCCGCGCACGGCAGGTGTGCAGCATAGCTGGCATTGAAGACTCGGATGACTACCTACAAGACCACCCCAACCCAACCCGAAGACCCGAATTTGACCCGAATTTCGGGTTGGGGGTGGTACGGGTTCCATGTGATTTTTCAATGTTCCCCGACCCCCCCACTGGAAATGGAGGGCAAATTGAGGCATTCGGGTTGGGTTGGGGTGGCTTGGTAGGTGGTGAGGTGAGAAGCGCCAGTACCTCTGGCACTTTCTGGGGCGGCCCTGGCGGGCGCGGACTCCGCCCGCTCGCCCCTCCCCTGTCGCTTCGGCCGCTGGCCTCCCGTCTTCTGTGTCTTCTTCTGAGCAGGTGATCGTGACACGGTCACCTCCTCAGCTGGCTGTCGGCCCTCCCCGCCCCTCCTCCGCCGCGAGGGACGAGGGAGGCACGACGGGGGGGAGGATGACCCCAGCCAGTCAAAACGGCTCGGTGGCAACTCATGGGAGCCTCCAACATCATCGTGCTGGCTCTTGCGAATCGACGCTAGTCGACGCTGGGTCGACGCTGATCCACGCTAATCAACGCTAAATCGACGCACATCTGCGCTATCTCATCGAATGCCAGGCGCTAACCTACGCGAAGGCCCTCTCAATACGGACTTACGAGGGTATACAAAATTCCCAGGATTTGTTACCGAGAAAGAAATGCCTCCAGGAGGGCCCGAGACGGCCTCCTTGAGGCCCTGAAACGGCCGCTGGACCACCCCCACAGACGGCTTCCCAGGGAAATCTCGTATGGTAGGGTCTCCGCGAGGCCCCGAAGACAGCCCAAGACGCGCCCGAAGGCAGCCCTGGTGCAGCGAGGCCAGGCGGCGAGCCAACGGCAATGGCCCACTCCTCTTGGCGCGCCGTCGGCGAGAGGAGGCTTCTGACAGGAGGCACGAGGGCTCCTCGAGGAGGAGGAGGAGGAGGAGGAGGAGGAGGAGAAGGAGGAGGAGGAGGAGGAGGGAGCCTCCACAAGAAGCCCCCTGCCGTCTTCCAAGGCCGCCCCCCCTCGCCCCGCCCCCGACCAGAGTCCGCTCGAAACGGGTCCCCGGGCCCAACTGGGGCCCATCAGGGCCAGTGCTTCGAGCTGCCTCCAGCCGCGGGCACAATGGCCTCCCAGGAGGCCCAAAGGTTATGGAAAACGATAGCGTGTTAAAACATGCTGCCAACCACCCTCTGCGGGGCACAGTGTGAATCTCAGGGGAGGTACCGGGAGGCCAAGGGAAAGTGGGCTCCGCATGCTGCAGCACGGAGCCGTCCGGCAGCACCAGGATGGCGGCGCCGGCCTTCCGCGGAAGAGGGGCGGGATGGGACGGGACGGAACGGACTGAAACGGGAGAGAAACAATTCCGCGAGAGAGGTTTCTATCCCTCGGCCAAGTTTGTCGGCGCAGCGATAGATCCATCATCCCAGCAAGACTACGCCCTCGAGCGCTACACGTGCTGCGGTCCGCTCGAAAAACACAGCTTGCACCGCAGGCCATCGAAACATCTGCGAGCGAGCTGCCAGGAAGGCCGAAGCCCGCTCACGAGTTTGTTGCCATGGCACTTGAAGATGTCCCATGCAAGGCGCATGCAGACGCCTCCCAGATGGGGCCCGAGTAGATGGGGCCCGAGGATCACGCCGCATCGCCAATGCGTCGCCGATGCCTCGGCGATGCATTGGCCATGCATCGGCGACGTCGGCGGTGCATCGGCGACTTCCGCGAAGAGAAGATCGGGGCCCGCCTCGAGCCGCATCGCCGATGCATCGGCGATGCGGCGCGACCCTCTGGCCCCGCCTGGGAGGCCTGGACCCACGCAGCGCGACCGCCCCGTCGCCGTGGCCGGCGCCGCGGGAGAGGGGCGCGAGGGGGGGGAGGGGCGAGGGAGATGTTTGGGGGGTGGGAGCGATGGAGCTCGGGGGAGGGCGGCGAGGTGTCGCCCCTCCTCCCCCTCCTCCTCCTCTTCCTGCCAGCTGCTGCGACGATACTACTCTGGCTACCTACCAGACCACCCCAACCCAACCCGAAGACCCGAATTTCGGGTTGGGGGGGTAAGGGTTCCACATGTGCTTTTTCGATGTTTCCCGACCCCCCCCCCCACCTGGAAATCGAGGGTAAATCTGAGCCTTCGGGTTGGGTTGGGGTGGTTTGGTGGGTGGTGATACTCAGCAGTTGGCATAATATGATTTTGTCCGCCACGCGGGCCCAGGGTGCCCCGCCAACCACCCGCTCCGCAGGCCACCCGCGCGCCGCGCGAGGCGCGGCCACCTTCGCGCCCTCGCGCCGCCCTCCCCCCGCCCCGCGCCCAGGGAGTACGGCACCTCTCCGGCCCCGGGCCGCGGCGCGCGGGGCGCGGCTGCCTGCGCGCCCCCTGCCAGCGGCAGGGGAGGGTCAGAGGGGGGGGGGGAAGAGGGGACCGCTGAGCTCTGCCCTCGATGCTCGAGGTGAGCGCTTTCTTGTTCGGCGTCTCGACATTGGGCGGAAGGGGGGCGGGGAGGGGGGGGGAACAGAGATCATGTAAGGATCTCCCTGGGATCCTGTAAGGTTTTCCCAGGGATGCTGCAAGGACCTCCTAGGGATCCTGCAAGGAATCTCTCAGGGATCCTGTAAGGAACCTCTCAGGGATCCTGCAGGGGAATCTCTTAGGAATCCAGAAAAATGCTCCCAAGACCGCCCGAGGCGGTTGGGGTTGGTAGTGAACTGGTTGGAATTGGCTGGAGTCGTTAGAATCCGTTCCAGCGTGTTTCTAAGTCGCCCCAGAGGGAGGGAGGGGAGGAAGGGAGGGAAGGAGGGAGGGAGGGAACCCTTCCACCACCCGTTGGGCCGGCAGTTGCAGCTTGGGGGTCATGGAGGGCCCCCTCTGGGCCCGCCTGCCTGCAAGCCTCGATCCCCCCCCGAACCGTTTTCGGGGCTCCCCCCCCGCGGCCGAGCGCCCGGGCCGGTGGCCCGCGCCTCAACGGAAAGCTGAACATCCGCCCCCAGAAGAAGCACCCCGACGAGCGAAGCCGTTTATGAAGGGGCCCTGGGACACACAAGTAAATACACACAAAGAAAAGGATTTCCCATATTTCCCGATATGTTCTAGGGTTTTGTCTTCCCCCCCACTTCCCATAGTTTCCCATATATTCCTGGGGGTCGACGATTAATTGTGTCTGTGTGTTTTGTTGTCCCTCCTGAGTTTGGTAAACACACCCGTGGAAGGAATCGAGCAGGGCAGGGCTGTTCAGTAAACGCCCAGGGCGATTTCGTGAACGCAAATTGCCGGGGTCGGGGTGGTTTTTCCACCCCTGACGTTGGGCCAGGCGAAAGGGGGGGATAGCAAAGGGGGGTGGGGTGAAAATCAGCTCACGTAGCTGACTTTCCCAGCGCCTCCCGGCGCCGGGAGGCGCCCATGTGTCAAGGAATGGGCCCAGCGCCCAACTCTCCCTATCCCCCCCGTCTCCCTATCCCCCCGTTTCGCTCGGCCCGAGTTTGGGGCTCCCCCCACCTGACTCCGGATCCGCCCTACTTTGGGGAAATTCGTAAGTAGGGCTTGGAAGTTCCGCCTTACGTTTCAAGCCCCGCTGATGCCAACTTCCGCCCTACTTTTCTGTTGCTGTTCCCGCCCTACTTCTCTGGACGTTCGCCCTACTTTCTGTTGGGGGCACAAATTTCCGCCCCACTTCTTTGGCTTTTTACAGGTGGACTTCCGGCGCAATTGAAAGTTGGGAACAAAATCAAAGTAGGGCGGATCTGGAGTCAGGGACGCGACCGAGCGCCCGGCCGGTGGCCCGCGCCTCGAGGCCCCGAGCTGGGGAGGGCCGTGCGCCTCTGCGCTGCGCTGCGCTTGCTCCCGCGCTCGCGCGCGCGCTCCCTCTTGCGCTCCCCGTGCGCCGCGCGGGCAGGCAGCCACGCCACGGGGGGGGGGGGCACCGCGAGGCGGCCAGGGGGCCACGGAGCGCTGTCCTGGGCGTGGGGGACGCATGCGGGCACCCCCACTGGGGCCTTCGGTGGAGCTCCCTAGGGGGCCACGGAACGCTGTGCTGGGCGTGGGGGACGCCTGCGGGCACCCCCACTGGGGCCTTCGGTGGAGCTCCCCAGGGGTCGTCTCGGCTGCCAGGGCAGCAGGTCGGAGCGCGGCACAAAACAGCGCTAGGAATCCCCACGAATCCTCCCCACGAATCGTTAGGAATCCCTACGAATCCTTACGAATCCCTAGGAATGCCTAGGGGGGGGGGCACCGCGAGGCGGCCAGGGGTAGGTCGGGCCTGTCCCCCCCTGCAGGGGGAGCTTGGGCGACAACTACTCGAAAAAGATACCCCAAAAAGATGCCCAAACATACTCGACAGATGCTCTAAAGATGCCCCAAAGGGGGTTACTGGACGAAAAAGATGCTCAAAAGATCGAAAAAGATGTCCAAAAGGGGGATTTGGGACGAAAGCCATTCGAAACATACTCAACAAATACTCAACAAAAGATGCACAAAAGTACTCAACCAAATAGTCCCCAGGCTATGTTTTGACCATGTTTGAAAAATCCCTCTATAGAGGGACAGGCCCGACCTAAAGCAAGGGGGTGTCGTCTCGGCTGCCAGGGCTGCTGGCCGGAGCGCGAAGCAAAGCAGCACCAAAAAAAAGACACTCGAACTCCCCGGCAACTCACAGACCTCCTCCCTGCTGAAGCGGGCCCAGAGATGCGCGGAGTGGGGATCGCTGGTGAAACCCGTGCGGCAAGGAGACACAAACAATACAATAGCATGCGTCAAGCAAGACGTGATCATTCGACAGTATACGAGGTCGCACGCTGCTGCATCTGAACACGACGCAATACTTCGGCCCATAGAACGAAGGATGATGTACACATGACGCGTGAAGCGAACCAAAGTGCAAGGATGATTGACAGTACTTGGTGCGGAACCAAGAAGTACAGGTACGCACTATGCGCATGCAACTAGTACATTACTGAAGCGATTGGGGCAAGCACACCACAGTGGGTGGAAAACCAGTGCGAAATCGCGTGGACAACAAAACACCATCCCACTGCGAAGTGCAAGGCGCTCAGAGGGAAAGACGCCCCCCAACGTGGGGCAGCGCAGGGACGGACCCGGGAAGCATGACTCGCAAAGGGAGGCGCCACAGCCCAGCCTTGGCGGAAAACGCGGGCGGCCCCAACTCGCAGAGCGAAGCAGCCAGCCTGCGGGCGTTCGCATTTACGGCAGGTTCGCGCGGCGTCGGCGCGCGCAAAGGCTTTTGACACCGCGTCGATCGCGTTCAACCCGGAAGCGATCACGGCCTCGATCGTTCAAGATTGAAGCCCGTCGAGCCCAGTGGCGTCACCGTATCCCTCGGTGCCTCCGCGTCGCGGTATTCAGCCTTGAACGCCTTTTCGCCAAAGCCCAACGACGCACGAACATACCGTAACCGATGGAGGCGGGAAAGGTTGCTGCTGCCGCTGTTCTGTCTACACTGCTGCAGGAAGCTGGTACTGGGGCCAGCGGCAGACCGGAGCGCAGATGGATGTGCCTGTGTAGGTTGGGATCGCCTGGTGATGTGAGCAGTAGTCAATGCGCAATTGCAACACCGCTGCCTGAATATATACCAGCAGTCAATCATGGCATGCACATGTGTTACCACGGCACAACGATGCGATCAGTCACAGGTTCGCAACTGGACGAGGGTGGGATACGTACAACGCAACTCTGCCCCTTGAAGTATGTGGCAACGCGTGCCGAGCCGTGAGGTGCCTGGGGCGGTCCGAGTGCCGACGCCCGGGGAGCAGAAGGCGGGTGGCGCAGAGAAAAACGGAAGGGCGAGGAGGAGGAGGAGGAGGAGGAGGAGGAGAGAGGAGGGGGAGGGGAGGGAGGATGAGAGAGGAGGAGGAGGAGGAGGAGGAGGAGGAGGAGGAGGAGAGGAGGAGGAGGAGGAGGATGAGGAGGAGGAGGAGGAGGAGGAGGAGGAGAGGATGGAGGAGAGGAGGAGGAGGAGGAGGAGGAGAGGAGGAGGAGGAGGAGGATGAGAGGGGAGGGGATGAGGAGGAGGAGGAGCAGCAGCAGGGGGAGTGGGAGGATGAGGAGGATGAGGAGGATGAGGAGGAGGAGGAGGAGGAGGAGGAGGAGGAGGAGGAGGAAGGGGCAGGCGCGAAAGGAAGCAGAGCGGTCCGCATACACACTCGGCGGCAACCACCCCACCTGCTTGCCTGCTGCTGGCATCTCCTGACGGCAATCTGGTGTGCGACACCGCCGCTTCGCTCCCCCTTTTCCGACGCCCCTGTCCCCGCGGAGCCCACATGGATCCGCACCTGGCGAGGTCGGCAGCGCGCCTCCCCACCCGGGATCGCGGGGATGCAACGCGGCCTGCCCTGCGGATCCACCAGGCCACTCTGTACTTCAACCTTCTCCGGCCTGCGAGCCGCAGCCCCGGACCCAGACCGAAGGGCAACGAACAGAACCCCCAGCTGGCCGCGCCTGGCCGCTGTCGCGGGCGGGCGGGCGCGTGCGAGGCGACGGCGCTGCGCCCTGTCCCCTCCCCACCCTCACACCAGACCCTCGACGTCATGATTCTTCCTGACGCGACCCCCCCCCCAGACCCCCCCCCCCCAGACCCTCACCCCAGACCCTCACCCCAGACCCTCACCTCCTTACCCTCACCCCAGACCCTCACCCCAGACCCTCGACGTCATGATTCTTCCTGACGCGACCCCCAAGGAGGTCCGGACCCATCCCCTGGGTCCGGTCCTTCATCCCCCATCGTTATTCTTCACGGCCCCGAGGCCCGTGCTGGACCCCCCCGAGGCCCGAATAGAAATAGCGGAGAGCCCTCCGTCGTGGCTGCCTCACCACGCGAGGGGGTCTGGGACCCCTCCTCTGAAGGGGCCCTGGGGCACACAAAGAAATACACACCAATGAAAGGATCCCCCACATCTTCCCACATTCTCTGGGTTTTCGTCTTCCCCCCCACTGCCCATTTTTAAAGGATTCCCCATATCTTCCCATATTTTCTGGGTTCTCGTCTTCCCCCCCACTGCCCATACTTTTCCACATCTTCCTGGGCATCGACGATTCATTGTGTCTCTGTGTTTTTTCCCCTCACGATCCCCTCCCTGACTCCCCCCGCGCGGCCCGCCGGGCGCGCGCCGCGCCTCTCCCCGGCGGCCTCCCGCAGGGCCTCCGCGGCCCCGGGCCTCGGCGGGGGGCGGCGGCGCCGCTCTCTCTCCCCCGCGGCTCCGCGACGGGCGGCCCCCCCCCCTCTCTCGGACGGGGGGGGCGGGGGCGGGGGCGGGGGCGGGGGCGGGGACGGAGGGGGGGAAACAGCGGAGGGGAAGGGGGGGGGGTGGGGGCGGAAGAGGGCGATGGGGGAGGGTGGGGGGAGGTGGAGGGAGGGGAGGAGGGAGGAGGGAGGGAGGGAGGGAGGGAGGAGGAGTGGAGGAGGAGGGAGGAGGAGGAGGAGGAGGAGGAGGAGAGGCGGAGGAGGAGGAGGAGGAGCAGGGGGAGTGGGAGGAGGAGGAGGAGGAGGAGGAGAGGAGGAGGAGGAGGAGGAGGAGGAGGAGGAGGAGGCAGGAGGAGGAGGAGGAGGGGGAGGCGGAGGCCTCTGCGGCCACCGCCCGGCACGAGCACCCACAGCGTCGGAGGCCATCCAGGGCGGCAGCCGACGGGAGAAACAACAAAAAATTGGAGAGGCGGAGCCTCCTCGTGAGGAACTGAACTTTATACACCCGGTCCCGCACTGAGACTCGCACTGAGAAACACGGATTCTGGTGTATACGGGATCCTGGTGGATGCATTTTTCGCTGCTTCCCCGGGAAAGCTGGGGAAAAAAGTATACACCACACCGCCCCGACGTCGTCCCCGACCCTCAAGAAAAGTCCTGGGATTGAAAGACAGCCCGCCACTGGTAATGTGTATGTTCCAGGTTCCGACCTCGGGCTCGACGGCGGCAGGCGCTGCGGAGCTCGGAGCAGCATGGGATGGCAGGCGCAGGAAAAACCCGAGGAGGAGGAGGAGGAGGAGGAGGACCTTCTCCACTGAGAGCTCCACAATCCGAGCCAGCTCCAGAGCAGCTCCGCCCCCGGAGCCTTCGAGGGGACGAGCAAGGACAGATGGGACGACTGACTCGATCGTCTTTTTTGACGATCGCCAGACGACGAAAACAATCGGCAGAATGCGGATCATGTAACCGACTTAGGCCTAAGGCGCGGTGGCCTACACATTGGACCTAGGTGGGCGCAGCAGGGAAGGGCCAGGCAAGAAGAGAAAAAGAAACAGCGCAAGGGCCCGCTAAGACAACGAGTACGCGCCCGCCTGAACTGTGAGGGGGTGACAGGTAACGATGATCCAGAGGAGGCCTAAAGAAAATTCGATCCTCCTCCCCCTTCTCTGACGCCGAGTAGATAGGGTCGGAGGATCGCGCCGCATCGGCGACGCACCGACGACGTCGGCGCTGCGTCGCCGCCGACTGCGTGGCGAAGGTCGGGCTCTCCGCACCGAGGCGCGCAACGGCGATGCATCGGCGATGCAACGCCACGCATCGGCGATGCACCGGCGGTGCATCGGCGGGGCGGCGCGATGCGCCCACCCCGCAGCTCTGCATCCCCATCCGGGAGGCCCCCGGGCTCCCTGAGAGGAGGAGGAGGAGGAGGAGGAGGAGGAGGGAGGAGGAGGAGGAGGAGGAGGAGGAGGAGGAGGAGGAGGAGGGGGAGGGGAGGGGGAGGGGGGGGAGGAGGAGGAGGGAGGAGAGGAGAGGAGGAGAGGAGAGGAGGGAAGGAGGAGGAGGAGGAGGAGGCGGATCCTCCCCGTGGCGCTCGGAGCGTGCCACCGCCCGAGGGCGGGGCGCCCGCACGTCCACCGCGCACGCGGCGCCGGCGGGCAGCGAGGCGGCGAGCCCCGCCGCGACGGCGTCCGCGCCGTCGTAGAACAGCGCCTCGGGCCGCAAAGTCGCGAGGCGCAGAAGACTGGCCATCGCTCGGACGTCCATTCCCTGTGCTTTTTTCGGTTTCGTGCGTGGTTTTTCGACAAATGATCATGGATGCTCCTCGATGGTCCTCGCCGAAGGACAAATGCACACGTCCGAGCGATGCCAAGAAGAGGAGGGAGGGGGCCAACAAAAATCCAGCCCCTTCGCGCGGCAGATCGCGCCGTGGCGACTTCGGCGTCGGTTTCTGGCACCGCGGGGAACCTTCAACCGTGAACGATGGGCCAGTTCCGAAACGTCAGATCGTTCAACATTGACCGAGTCTGGATCGCCGGCGGCGTTCAATGTTAAACGCCGGCGGCAAGATCGCCGCTGGTTGACACGACGCGAACCTACCGTATTCAACCCCGTGTTCGCCACCACCACCACAACCCCCATCACCCAGAGCTCTGGCCTCGCGAAACCCTGGGGGTACCACGGTCCTCTCACGCCTGTGCTAATGGGGATGACACGGAGTCAAGGGTTCTACTGTTTCGTCCTTCGACGGGAGGAGGACCCCAGGCCCCCAACTTCTTCAAAAAAGGAAACGCATATGTCTGGTCTGTTTGGGCCTCGAAAGATTAGCTTGCAACTTCTGGGAGGTCTTCGCAAGGACGATCAAGGGCGATCAAGTTCGATTTAAGGGCCAAGTAAGCCAGACCAGGCCGCATTAAGCGGAGAATGAACCCAGTGAAGCGGGATGAAGACGGATTAGCTGGGACTATACCGAATTAGGCCGGCTTCCGACCACGGATTTACCAATGCGGATGCTGAATCTTCCCAGGAGAGAGAAGACCCCCGTCCTCCAGCCTCTTGAAAACATGCGAACGGAGATGTGCCTCGTCTGTCTCGGCGTCTGGGGGCATTTTTTCGGGCGATGGGGCCACCAAGAGCAATACGGGACGGAAAACCGGTCCCCAGGCAGTGGTCGTGGGGGCCCAGGGGCACCATGTTGAGACATCAAGACGTCGGAGGTCTGGAGCCAGAGCACATTCCAAATCGATCATACAAGGGCGAGAATACGGCGGCCCATCGGGCCAACAGTGTGTTAGATCCTGCCAGCGAGCAGTGGCCAGGCAGTGAGGCTGAGCTGCTGCTCATCTGGCCCGCGCGCGCAGGCGCCCCAGGGGGGGCCTCCTCCTCCTCCTCCTCCTCCTCCTCCTCCTCCTCCTCCTCCTCCTCCTCCCTCCCTCCCTCCCTCCCTCCCTCCTTCCCTCCCTCCCTCCCTCCCTCCCTCCCTCCCTCCCTCCCTCCTCCCCTCCTCCCTCCTCCCTTCCTCACTCCTCCTCCTCTCCTCTCCCTCCTCCGCTCCTCCCTCCGCCCTCCTCCCTCCGCCCTCCGCCCTCCTCTCCTCCCTCCTCCCCTCCTCCCTTCCGCCCTCCTGCCTCCTCCCTCCTCCCTTCCCGCCCTCCTCCCTCCTCCCCTCCTCCCTCCTCCTCCTCCCTCCTCCCTCCTCCCTCCTCCCTCCTCCCTCCTCCCTCTCCCTCCTCCCTCTCCTCCTCCCTCCTCCCTGCTCCCTGCTCCCTCCCTCCCTCCCTCCCCTCCGGCCCTCCCTCCCTCCTCCCCCTCCCTCCCTCCCTCCCTCCCTTCCTCCTCCCCCTCCCCCTCCTCATCCTCCTCCTCCTCCTCCTCCTCCTCCTCCTCCTCCTCCGCCTCCTCATCCTTTCCCTCCTCCTCCTCCTCCTCCTCCTCCTCCTCCTCCTCCTCCTCCTCCTCCTCCCCCTCCTCCCTCCTCCTCATCCTCTCCTCCTCCTCCTCCTCCTCCTCCTCCTCCTCCTCCGCCTCCTCCTCCTACTCCTCCTCCTCCTCCTCCCGTTCCTCCCCTCCCCTCCTCCTCTCCTACTCCTCCTCCTCCTCCTCCTCCTCCTCCTCCCTTCCTCCTCCTCCTCGCCTCCTCTCCTCCGCCTCCTCCTCCCCTCCTCCTCCTACAGCCTCCTCCTCCTCCTCCTCATCCTCCTCCTCCTCCCCTCCTCCTCCTCCTCCTCTCCTCCTCCTCCTCCTCCTCCCTTTCCTCATCCTCCCTTTCCTCCCCTCCTCCCCCTTTCCTCCTCCTCCTTTCTCCTCCTCCCTTTCCTCCTCCTCCTCCTCCTCCTCCTCCTCTTCTTCTTCTTCTTCTTCTTCTTCTTCTTCGTCGTATTATTCTTCTTCTTATTATTCTTCTTCGTATTATTCGTGTTATTATTCTTCTTCTTATTATTCTTCTTGTTATTATTATTCTTATTCTTATTCTTATTCGTCTTATTCGTCGTATTATTATTCTTCTTATTATTCTTCTTATTATTCTTCTTATTCTTCGTCTTCGTCTTCTTCTTCTTCGTATTCGTCTTATTATTCTTCGTATTCGTATTCTTCTTCTTCTTAGTCTTCTTCTTCTTATTATTCTTCTTCTTCTGCTTCTGCTTATGCTTCTGCTTCTGCTTCTGCTTATGCTTCTTGTTCTGCTTCTTATTATTATTCTTCGTCTGCTTCTGCTTCTGCTTCTGCGTCTGCTTCTGCTTCTGCTTCTGCTTCTGCTTCTGCTTCTGCTTATGCTTCTGCTTCTGCTTATGCTTCTGCTTCTGCTTCTGCTTCT